TTTTTTAACTGACACTTGTTAAATGTCATTATTATAGCAGCACCAAAAATAGTTTTGATTTGCCATTTAATAACTGCCAGTATAACAGTGGTATTTAAAAACACGAATGCCAGACAAATGCAGAACATTTCAACATGTTAGATATAAAATGGCTTATGTAGAGTAGAAGCTAATTTAAGTGAATCTATGTCACAGGTGCTGTGGTAAGATCGATGGATCAATAAAATCCTATCATGTCAGGATTTTTCTTCTTTCGCCAGAGAAACTTATTTTTAGCTTCTTTAAATGCTTGTTTTCATTCCATATGACCACGTTGTGGTGTCAGATTGCAAAAGGTAGGTCTTCAGGGAGCAGGGAAATAATAAAAGTGTATCAAATGATAGGAAGTGAACAGAATAAAAAAATCAATTCAGGTGCACAGTAGCTGCCCTTTCTTTCCGGAGACAGTGAAACGGGTTTGTTTTTCCAGTTAAACGGATGGATTAACACACCAAAAACAGTTTGTTTCAGCAGCCTGAGTGGCATGTTCAAGATCCTTGGTTGTGTACTTACTAAACATACAGATTAGGCAGACTAGGAAAAAAAAAATCCTCAGGACGAGTTTTTTCCATGTCTGGGAGGTGGACATTTGGTAGATGTGTGTCTGTGTCTCTCTGTGTGTGTATAACCATAGTTATTCATAAATTATTGTCAAGAGAGGGTCTAGGAGTGTGCATTGGATAAGAAATCCCAGAGTTGCAAAGACGCAGGATATTCATTCAACATTTACTGTCTTTATTTTATTTTTTTAAATTTTTCTACACAACACTCAAACTGGATTTTGAGGTTTAGGTTGATGAGGAACCACTTTAAGAATTTCAATTTAAAAATTCTTAAGCAAAAAATGTTAAGCCTTACTGTAAGACTTTCCCTGATTTGGAAATTCAGATTCCTGAGTACAGATGGATCATAGTAGTGTATTCAACCACTACTCTTGTGACTTCAAGTTAGAGGCCAAAGCAGTTTAACCTCATTTCAAGCTAACAGAGAAGAGTTCTGTCTCTTAATAAGGCCAAGTCTCCACATAAGAGACTCACGTACCATCTTCATCTGTCCGACAGATTAGGGGCTCACTCTCGGGGCCAGGCCCAATCTCAGTTGAGGCGGACAATGTGATTCGGTACTGGGTCCACTTCTCCAGTCTCTGCAGCAACACCCGCTCTTCGGTTGGAGGCACTGGCGGCTCCTCCATGGGGTCTGTATCGTCGCTGGCCCCTTCTGAAGGGCCCACCACTTGGTAGCGCACCCTATACCCCGTCAGATCACCGTTCTGACTCTTCAGAGGTGGGGGGCGCCAACTTACCAAAAGGCTGGTGGAGCTGGTAGTGCTGCACTTAATTTCTTGAGGGGGAGCTGAGGGTTCTGGTGAGGTGGAAAGGACAGCAAGGAAGGGAGGTAGGGGGCGGTAGAGGACGAGGAGGATGGGGGAAGGAAGAAGGGTGAAAAACGAAAAAATAAAAAGATGGTAGAGATAAAGAAAATGAAAAAAGGAAAATTTTAAACTCAAATAAAAAACAACAGGAATAATCAAAATGAAACTGATCAACACAAAACACAAATATATGAAAATAAAAACGGGTACCAAGCAGATGCCAAATTAAAAGGTGAAAATGCACACCACCATACAGAAACATAATAATGAATCAAGACAGCTGTGCTTGCTGGTTTTGGTGAAAATAAGATATGTCTGTGAACATTATTTTATGAAATATAGGTCAATTGTTTGGTACTTTTTCCAAATCTAAAAAGTCTACTAGCTAAAAAGTCATGATAAATTTTATAATTTAGGAGTCTTTAGAATGACTAGCACCATTTTAAACAAGAACTCAGAAGTTCACTTTATTTTTGTGATTGCTAGACAACAAATTACGTAGTTTAAAATGAAAGTTTGAATCATTCCAATTTATCACACAGAATTCCATGATAAACCTTTGTGTCTGAAGTGCTTTTGGAGAACATGTTAAATTAAAAAAAAGCCCTCTTTTAAAATTCTTAACATTTTTGTTTTTCCTGTCCAAATAATATATATTTTAGCCTTTGCATTTTATTCTTTGTGCAATTCCCTCCACCTTGATGTAGCAAATCTAGTTCATTATTACATTTTCTGACAGCAAAGTAATACAAACTAAATTAAATATGATTAGAGACAAGGACATATCACACAAAAGTTTAAATAAAAAGAAGCAAATGAATAAATAAATATGTTTTCATCCAAAAATAAAGGACAATAAAGAAATAAGTTATGAATTCAAGGAGGGTAATGTGAAATTAGTTGGAACCAAAGTGATTCAAAAGATTCACAACAAATACTTTCTAAAAATACAAGGTGTGAGTAAACATCAACAAAGGAAAATAAAACCAGATGCTCATAAAAAACAACAAACAAAACAGTATACCATGAACAGACAAACAAAAGTAAATCGCAAGCATTGTCTGCATCATACGTACCTGACTCCCAAAAATAAAATAAAAAAAAACTTTCAAGACTTTCTTACCAACAGCACCTGACTCCAGAGTGTGCTTACTCTAGAGTCAGGGAGAAGCAACACTTTCCCATCCTGAGAATATGATCAATTTTATGATCAAATCTTGTTACAGTCATGGCAAACAGCTATTTGTATCCACTGATAGTTGATTTGGACCCAGTTTGGGAAGAGCAGGAGGGAGAGAGTTGGCTCTGTGCTGTAGCCAGTGCTGTTTAATACTGCATTGTTGGGCCAGAGGGTCCACAACACTGAGAGAAGGGAAAGCCAGTGGGGAAAACTCATTATCAAGATTTTCTACGCTCGTGAACTTGGCCGAGCACAGAAACATCCTTCCTTGTTGGCAATTTCCTCAAATAAATCCCATTTCATAGCCCTATGTCTAAGTATCTCAGAGGAGCCTGCAGCCATTTTGACAGTGCCAAGACACAAGACAATGTCATCAACAACATAAAAAGCTCATATAAAGGAATTTATAAAACTTTAATAAAAATGTTGTGAGCATATTGTCACTTTAGAAGATACAGATTTAAAATTGAAAAGAAAAAACTAAGTTTTATAAAGAAAAAAACAAAAACAAAAAACATTTTACTTGGTAAAATAGACACTGTTCCAGTACACAAAAATAAAACAGGGCCACAGCCTTAGTTCTCAAACCCTTTTCTGTGTCCAATGGGCTTATTTACTTAAGGTCTTACTGGATTTTGAGCCATTCAGCTTCTTTCCTTTGCCCGTATTGTATTTGCAAACTCTCCCCCGTCAAGAATGATTGCTCCGTTCTCATTCTTTGTGGCAAAGAAAAGGTCTATAATTCTGACAGGGTGGAGGTTATCACAGTGCACAGGCATCTCTATGCTTGATAACAATTTAAGACTGGATTGGGCGCATCCTTAATATCCAATGGAGGGCCAGTCATAGGATTATGGATACTAGAAGTATGCAACCACAAAGAGAAGTATTTTGGATAAAGTTTCACTTGAAGTGCATCAAAACTTTCATATGAAGTCATCAAGACAAGACAAACTGGTCTTGTCTGCAATTACTTCCTTCACTTTGACTCTGAAATATGATGTGGGAGGTTTTTACACTACAACTTTCAAATTCAAAGTGAAAGGAATTTAGAGGATATGGAATATTCTTAGCAAAAATACTACAATGGTTACAATTCGATATTAACGTGAAGTATTAAAATAACAAATTGCGAATGCTATTTCTATCACAGTCTAAGTGCCATCTTTGTATATGGACTGTATCAGAAACCTCAAATGACATGATGTTCGTTCTTGTAGATCATTACGGAATTAATCCCAGCGATGCCAAATGGCCATGGTGTGGCTCACACAGATATTCCAATACATCTAAAAACCTTCTGCAATTACAGTAAGTGGGGGGAATAAACTGCTTGTTTGGTTAAATACAGAGGATTTAGAATCTGCCACTTTAATTTTAGAGATGGCTTTTGACTGGCTACTGGCAGGGTCTAGGTATAATCTAAATGTGTAACAAAGCCTGACAATCCAAGGCCTTGGCTCAGAGCTCATCGCAGAGCATGAAATTAATTCTGACTCTATGAAATGGGATTCTTATCTGCCATTCGGGAGCCCTGCAGCCCCTCAACAACCACTCCAGGGTCTATCTCAAGTCTTCTCAGCATGTTTTAAAACTGGCAACAGCTGGAAAAATTACCCTCCATGCTTTCTGGTTGTGGACCCTCTTGTTGGCCATGTCTGAACTGTCTCATAAACTGGTTTCAACCTGGACTGACAAATGTAGCATACCAAGTGAGGTCTTGCTTCTGAATGGGAGCCGTTGTGAGAGAGAACGTCTTGCTTATATAAAAACCTGATACAACTTTGAAAAGTGAAAATAATTTGGTATCAGCCACATTGAAGTAGTTAAAGAGTGCAGACAAATTCCAGGATTATTATGAATTTTTTGCTCGTCAAAGCTCCCATTACAAGCCTCAGGTAATGCTATTTGGACTGAGCATAACCTTCAATGTTTTATAAACAGTTTCTGCATAGAACATAGAGGAAACACATCTGAAATGTCATATTGTCTGTCTGTCTTTCAACTTTGTAGCATAGTGATTCAGTGTGCCAGATGCTGGAGGTCTGGAAGTGGAACTTATACATCATGTTTGGGAAGGAACAACTACTTTATGTGCAAATCCTGAATAGTTTTTGTGTTCGTGAGAAGTTTTTAGTTTTCAGGGATTAATTCCAGCAATCTCTCCATTAGATGTCATTAAGTTTCATATCCAACTGATTATTTCAATCAAGCAACATAGCTATTAAAATGTAAAACTTGATAAGTTCCAGTGCTACCTTCGTGTGTATGTGAAGGATGGCTTTTGGTGAAAAATCTTCGTTTAAAATGTTTAATGTGTGAGTGTGAAACTACCAAATGAAAAAAAAAAACAAAAAAAACAACAACAAAGGTTTCTTAAACTGTGGCACAAGTACCATTGATTGTACTCAGTGGGTATCAATATTTTCAGGGTAAATGTAAGTAAATTAACAGCCATCTAGAGTTACTGAGCACCAACAATCAAGCAGAAGTGACTTGTTCAAATTGTTCAAGAACAGTAATCTTTTATTCTCTCTAAAAGGAGGTGTATTTGAGACAATTTGGAGAACTGTTAATATGAACTGAAAAATACAGCTGTAAAGAAGGAAAAAACTCTGGTCATAAGTTAGTTCTGTTCTATGTTTTTTATACCTTGGATCTGGGAAAACCATCAATCCCATCTTAGCTGGCTCCACACGGCACACTGAATCTCTAAACCACACAATCACTTACCTTTGAGCGTCCAAAAGATCAAGTAATTTTTAACAATAAGCACTGCGTTTGCCCAGCTTAGTTTTCGAATATCCTGACTTAGTGCTGAACAACCAATGGGTGTAAGTGACTGCAGCAACTTTACAATGAATCTTTAATGTACAGGAAAAAATGGCTTAAAACATGTCATTAAACATCTCTGAGGCCCAGGATAAAATAATGTCAATAGAATGGATAAAAAAAAAAAAAAAAAGAAAGCATGGCTGCTAGCTTTAGTGTTATGACCAAGCTATTGAAAATAGAGGTAAGATCTGCATTTTCTATTATTTCTGTGGACCACTGTTCAGGGAGAGCAAAGAGTGCAGGACAATAAAAAAAAAAAAAAAAAAAAAAACGAAAATGAAGAGTCCTATATCTTAAGATGTTGGACTTATCTCCCATCATGTTTGCTCAAAAGCCCATTCAAGTAAGTATGCATGGTTGCATTGGCTTTTGTTGCAGTTATTCGAACCTGTGGTGGACTTGGGTTCATACAAGAACCAAACAGAAATGAAAATGCGGCTAGAAGATACAGAGAGATAAATCAAATAAATAGTATTTCAAAATTAAGACCCAAGTGAATAGAGAAAATTAAATAAATGGATATAACTCTGTTTACCAATAAATAAATAAATAAATAAATAAATAAATAAATAAATAAATAAATAACAATCAAACCAAAAGGGAAGAGGGATTTAAGTGAACAAAACGATGTCAAGGCATTCCAAGAACAGTTTTAGTTACAATCCACAAGTTAACATGTGACAAAGAGAGGGACTAGACTGGAAGAGGGTGACGAAGGAAGAGGAAAAGGAGGAGGGGCATATTCAATTCTGCTTGCAGTTTGCAAATGCAAAAACAGGCAAGAATATCACAAACACACACTTCGACAGATGGGGATACGCACACTGTACTCAAGAAATGCCAAGACAGAAATGGGGATGGACATATGTGGCTTTTCATGCAGAGGAGTCAAAGTTCATCAGTTCAGCGGCAGCTGCTCAACAGCACCCCGAGTGGGCAGTAGTGAGTGTCACATGCAAGTGGAGTTCTTGGCAGTAACACTGCACTTTCTGTGCAGGAACAAAAAGAACTGTGAAGTGGTTGTTCCAAAGCCCACACGCTCACATGTCGAGGCACAGCCAACAAGTTGCACTGGTAGAAATAGAAAATGTGTTATAGGAAGTCGGCTCCCACCACCAATGCTTTCCTATGTCACTGTTGAAGGTACTCTGATTTAACAAAAATACTGTCAGTGTAGTAAAACAATGAAACCATTCATACACAATTCATTTTCTCCGGCATATGTTTGATTAAACTACAATTTGACAGTCTTGACTGTAGAAATAATATTAGCAATAAGGCATTTCATGTTAACTTCCATATGTGAATAAACAAAAATAGTGTGCCAAGTTTACTGTTGAAACCTCAGCGGAGTTAATTAAATACCTTATTACTTCAACAACAGTTATTAAGATTTATTACTGTACTATTGTTTATTAAATGAAATTAAACTGTTCTCATTCAAGTGTTCATAGTGTGTCGATGATTCATTAGTTAGAGCATGAGTATTAAACTCATTTTCATTTTGGGCCACATCAAGTTTATGAATATTCTTAAAGGGCTGGTTGTGCCCTAATGTATTGGTAAAAACCATTAACATATTGTTAAAATATTAATGAATAGCTGTGTCAATAAGGTATTTCTTAAAATTAAATAATATCGAACATCTGTTCACACTGCTCCAGGATTTTCTGAATGTTTTTGTAATTATTTGCAATTGAAATCAGTGATTTTCAGGAGCTAATTTAGAAATATTTGAAAGACCTATGCCCTGCGACAGACTGGCGACCTGTCCAGGGTGTACCCTGCCTCTCGCCCGGAACGTTAGCTGGAGATAGGCACCAGCAACCCTCCTGACCCCACTAAGGGAAAAGGGTGTATAGAAAATGGATGGATGTATGAATGAAAGACATATTTGCAATATTTGCACTTGATGATAAATGTAACTTTTTGGTACTTGTTGTATCAAGGACAAACTATCATTTGACATCAATTAAAGCAGTGTAGTAGATGTAAAACATACTGACCTCTGCAGGTGTGAGGTAGCATCACTTTAATATTCTTTTTTTAATGTGCGAAAAACTTACGATTATGCATTAGCGCAAAAACGTGCAGGGGTCTGCTGATTTAGCATGAATTTGCCGTTTCAAAAAAACTCGAGGTACATATGTAATTTGATTGTATAAAAAATAAAAGCTGCTTTAATTTGACTAATAAAATAATATGTAAGCAATCAATTGCTCTATTTCTCTGTCCCTATGGAGCCGAGAGGGCCACATAAGAAGCTCTGATGGGCCAGATTAGTCCCCGTGCCTCGAGTTTGACACATGTAGGTCAAAGGAATCTTCCATCAACTTTCCAAGTTAACGTTGTCTAAATTTGCATCCTCATTTTGCATCCATGGTTTAAAATGCTGTCTTTTTGTCTTTTCTGCCGCCTTTATTTGACTATAAGTAGCTATTCTCCAATAATTTTTATTTTGATGAAAGCACCTGCCACTCAAAATATAATTAAAGATCTATGACTATGATCTGCCGAAGACACAATTGTCTTTTTAAATGTAATGCTCTCCATCGTCACATCACTTGTCTCTAATCCCCCCCGCCCCCTCTCAACAACAAGATTTAACTCTCAAATATGTGTACAGTTCATACGAGAGCCTTGGTGGTTTTTCAGGAGAACTAGCATTTTTTGTGTCATGTGGGATGTGCACTTGCTGTCTACAAAGGAAAGGAACACATCAACAAAAGTGAAAGAAAATACATTAAAAAAAAGGAACTACTGAAATCATCTATCCACAACAACGTATGTTTTCCATGGCTGAGTACACATACATTTACGTCTTCCTAAGCACAGCAGTGAGAAAAAAAAAGGCAAATAAAGCAAGGATGTGAACTAGAGGGGCATTTTGACGAACAGGTGCTTAACCAAACCAAGTTTTTAAATTTTAGTTTTCCAATGAGACAGAGGATTATTGCAACCTGGAACTTTAGAAGTTTTGAAGAACCCTATGAAAAGAGGAAGATCAGACGAATTAAATGCACTCAAGTGTAAAAAGTCACTAACATGGGGCTTCAGAGTGGAAGAATTGGTTGAAGTACCATAAAAAAGAGAGGAGGGAATTACTGCATGGAATGTTAATCATAGTTGTACTTGAAAAAAACAGTTTCCCTTTTCCCATTCTGAATGGATTACATTCAGGATGTAATCCATTCAGAATGGATGCAAATAGCAGCAGCAAAAACAAACAAAAAAAAAATACAATCTCAATGCTTTATTTGTTTTTATTATAAATGGCTGTTGAACAGAGAAGTGTGTCATCAATGCCATTTTCATTAATAGAGGGCTATAGATGGGTATTATATATTTCCAGGCACATAGTGCCAATTTATAGCACAATTAGGTAATTTTTAACTTTGACTGTTTTACCAATTCTATAACAAACATAATTTAAAAGAAATTTGACTTTGCAATTTAAAGCCTCAAAATTGGCCTTTGTCTCTTTAAGAAGCTCCAAATCTCTGACACTTCCCCTGGAGACTCCACTCAGACTTTAAGGCGGAGCTTTGGGTAAAAAGGCAGTGCACCGTATGAGCAAGTGTTGAAGCTAACCTGAATGGCTGCCATGGTAGAGTCAAGGATTTCTCAACCATGCATGAAATAATACAAGCAACACTTAAGGTAAATGCTATTTAAAATGTCCCCTTAGTCTCTTCAACTGCAGTAGTCCATAAAGTAAACATTTATTAGAATAATACAAGCCTAACAGAGTTTTGAAAAATGTCAAATTACATTTCATACATTTGCAAAATGTATGAAAATATGGATATGTTCCCAGTAGACATTTTAAACCACAAATAAGTAGCCTCAGTAAGCTTCAAATAAAGTCATTGTTAAACACATAACTCAGAGGCTAGGCCATTGACATTAGAGAAAAATTTGCAAGCTTCAGTCAAAAGAGCAGGTAAAAGAACTAATATAAATGAAAATTGTTTTTGCTATGGTCCATAAAGAAAACAAGATCATAGTTTAGTTTTGTAAGAGGAGTTTCTTTTGTTAGCAAACCTGAAACAAAAACAGGACAGAATATCAATAAAAGGCTACATACTGGCTTGCAAGGTCCTCTCAGAAATTTCATTTGTGAACGCCCCAATGCCTTTGTTAGAGATGGCCGCCAGGGAGAAGCGGTACTTTGTATTGGGACGGAGACTTTCCACAACATATGATTTTGTGGGTCCAAATGTTTTCTTCAACTGTCAATCAAAATATAAGAATTTAAAATGGTGAACTAAAAAAAACAATTGTTGAAATAAACTTTTAGAGCTTTGGTAGTGAACACTTACCTGAGTGTCTGAATCGCCTTCCTTATAGCGAAGTTCATAATTTATAATTCCTTCTTTCTCATATGCAGGTTCCCAGGTCAGCTCAATGCTGGTGTCTGACACAGCACCAACTTGGAATTTGGATGGTTGACCTGGAACTGGACACAACAGCAGAGGATATTACAATAATTCAGAGTCAAGACAATAACATTTGCAAGGGTTAAATTATGATGACCAGTAGGTTGGCTTCTAAACCATTTTATTAAGAGAATCTAGTTCCAACAGCTCCAGAGGTACTATTACATTATTAGCAATTATTCATATCCTTACCTCCCTGTAATACTTTGACCTGAATTGGGGCTGAAAAAGGTCCATCACCAACGGATGTGAATGCAAGGACTTTGATTGTGTATGTTTCTTGAGGAACTAGGCTCTGAATGGTGGTGATGAGATTGTCCTGGACATTGTGGATCTGCCAGAGGCTCATGGGCTGCGAATCGTCCATAGTGTAATAAACTCGGTATCCCTTGATCTGCCCATTAGGCTCCTCGGGTTCCTCCCACTGCACCATCATGGTGTTTTGAGGAAGAATTTGGGCCTTAATGTTTCTTGGTGGACTGGCGGGAGCTTGCTCACCAGTCCGAGTTTCGACTGGCTCACTGGGTGGACCTTGTCCAATTGAGTTCACCGCTGAGACACGTATTTCATACTCTGTGTTTGGGTAGAGGCCACCAATGCTGTAACGTGTAGTGGTGATGCTATCCACCGTTTCATACTTGCTGTCTGGGGACCTGGCTCTATACTGTATGATGTAGTATGTCACTGGATCTGGGTTTCCTGAGTCCCACGTAATGGTCACACTAGTGGCTGTGGTTTCAGTAACCACAGGGGTACCTGGAGGCTTGGGAAGAGCTGTTGTGACAACACAGAAAAAATGAGAGAAGATATTAATTGGTGATTGCTCAAGAAGTCTGAACAAAAAAGAACAAAGATCGAGATAGTGTTTTTTTTTTTTTGTAACTTAACACAAGAGATTGGAAGTGAAATGTTCTATGAATGTCATAGATCCTTCACAAATAGTCATCTCTTACATTTTACAGTGATCTGTGCCACGGCTTCAATGATGCCAAGGCTGCTCATGGCCACGCAGGTATAGTTGGCTGACTCACGGACACTGCTCAGTTCAAGAACATTTCTGCCAACTGGCATCTCGTCGTCTGGCGTCAAGTCCTCAGCGTTCAGCATCCACTTGACATAAGGCATGGGCGATCCCACTGCCACGCAAGTTATGTTCACACTGCCACCTGGCATTATTTCTTTACTTTCTGGAAGAATGGAGAAGCGAGGAGGTACCCGCCGGACTGCGAGAAGGCATGAGGAAGGAGAAAGGATGACAAAAGAGGGCAAGGAGTCAAAAAGAAGAGAAAAAGGAGAGGTAACAAGAGAGGCAGATGAAAATTGATCCTTCTCAGGTATACATGTAACACAAAAGATTCAACATGATAAACGTGAACTCAAACAAAAAATAAAATAAAACTAGACTTTTGAAAACATAAAAAAAATAACAAATAATGGGAAAGAACTAAACTAATAGAAATGCTTCAACAACAATATAGATTAACAATTAAGCAACGATTCATAGCAACAAGGTTCCAATGACCAATATTTGACCCATCACAGCACAATTAAAGACACAAAAATCTATTACGAGTTTCTCATCTTTGGGGGCTGAACTACTGACACGTGGACAACTGAAGCACTACCTGATCGCAAAGTAGAAGAGTAATATAGTAGTAAAGGCCATGTGATAATTCTATCACATAAGCCCGACCGGGCAACCTGGAACTTCCTGTCCTCTCAGACACACATGCCAAACAGGAAGTAGGCCATTGCAGGCTTCTCCCACAGCACAGGAAGTGTAGGGTTACTGAACTATTGACCATCTCTGTAAGGTCTAACCAAATTCTAGCACACATTTGCACTTAACACCTTGCTCTACTTTCAGATCATCTTAAAGATGAGAAACTTTAATCAGATTTTTGTGGTTTAGGGTAGATCCACTGGACAAAGCCTTATTAAGATCTGACACGGTTCCATTGATAGATGCAGCTATCAGTTTCACAGACAGCATGCATAAATAGATCGAGGTAAATCAAGGAGTAAATGATAACAAAAGTAGATATAAAACTTGAGATAAAATGCATTGAGGAATATAACTGAAGGGTCGCTAGCATGCCCAGACAAAAGACGATTGGAGAGGAAAGTAGCACAAGATAGAAGAAATAACTTTTGAGGAAAGGGTAGAAGGAGAGAGAACAGTGCAGTAAGGAGTGACAGAGAAAGAAATAGAGGAGGGAGGGGTGGAGGAGGGGTAAAGGGGGGACAGGGGTAACCCGTTTTACTGCTGTGTAAACTTTGCTTTTCTTCAGCTAATGTGACAAAATGTGATGATGGCACATTGTCACATCGCAGTCCCGGTAACACAAAATAAGTATCAAGGAACAAGGTGTGTGCCTAGGAGTACACAGAAAAAAAAGAGCTGTAGCCATTGTAGGTAGGAAGCTAACTACTACACAGTGTCGGAGTAAAGAAACAGAACTGGATCAACAGTGAGTAGAAGTTCAGAGAATAGAAAGGAGAGATGGAGGGAAAGAGAAATGAATACCAGCAACGAGAGGAAGACAGGTAGAACCTCTAAAGTTATGGAAAGGGACTGGATTGAAGAGGGAGGATAATAAACCTGAGATTCAGACGAAGGATGTGACAGGTATAGTGTATTGTGTGTGTGTGTATCTGTAGGTATATAGATGCATATACTTTTTGCATTGGTATAGGCATGGATGTGCGTGTGTACAGTATGCAAGAGCTATAGAGTGAAAGAGCATGATTCTGCAAAAAAGAAACTGATTGAGAGAGGCATCCCAGGAAGCATTTGACATTAGGTGACATGGAGGAGTTTGCAGTTACTCTAATGTTTTCTTCAACCATTTTACATATTTGTGTGCAATTTCAAAGGAAAGCTATATGTAGGAAAGACAAGATTTTACAAATACACAGCAGACTAAAACAAAGAAAATATTTTGATTTAATGTCAAAATGTTTGTTGGGATGCAAAGGTCAAGTGAGAGAAGGAAAGTAGTGAAGATACAGAAGACAACATGATGAAACATATGTGAAAGATGACTTTAGAGAGACGCACAAAACAAAGGAAGAGAGACAAGACACAAGGCAGAAATAAAAAAAACAAACTCGAGCAGCAAGACAACGAACAAGACAAAGGGAAATGGATTGACACGCGGACATACTGTACAATACGCAACAAGGGAAAGAAAGGGATCGGGTTGTCAGAAAAGGGGGGAGAAGGAGAAGGAGGATATAAGTGGGGAATAGAATAAAAACTGATTGAAAATAAAAAAAGAACAAGAAAAGATCATGGCTCAAAGTTGGTTTGGAGATCTCACACACTGGGGCTTAAAATCAAGAATCAGGCACATGTTCCTTCATCACCACCTTAAACATTACTTTTGTGTGCAAATGGAAGTTAAATGTTTAGGACAGGTGGGCATAAGGAAGGACAAAACAGGGCAGTGGGAGTGATTGAGGGAAAAACTGAAAAGGGCCCTTAAAGTAAAATTAGATTTAAAAACAAACCGTGTCAATCCAAATGGGATTCATATGATCGTTGCATGGGAAAAGCTAATTTATCCACAAAACTGAGGCAGAATTATTATATAAACAAACTCAGAGGGATTTTCTTTTAACTGAATTGCACATGTAAAATCAGTATAAATCACTGATGGATACTTTCAGTTACAGAGCGAGGGACACTCAAATGGGGAACATGGCTGGTGTTGGGGTTTTGATAAGTCTCTAATCTACTCTGTATGCATTCTCGGTTCTATCCACTGCTAATGTCAATTACTTTGTTACTCTGGGTGTAACAACCTAACCTTGAGGGCAAAAAGTTCATAGCTGACCTTTGAAAAAGGCTGGTTTGTGCTATGAAAAATGACATGCAGTAAAAATGTACCAAGAAAAATGGACACTTGCAAATCCCCAAAAAATTTTTTTTCAAAAAAAAAAAAAAAAAAAAAAAGTTCCTATCAAAACTAAGTATTTGGTTGAGATATTTTTTTCATTATCTCTGTTGAAAAAAGGCAGAAAATCAACCACTTAAGGGTGGAGAAAAAATAATTATCTGCATTATAATTTGATAAAGCATACCTAACTAACCAACAAAGGTGATAGGGCAGCCCATTCCTCACACAGACATGCATGGGTGTGGCTATGGCATGAGTGACGTAGAACGGTGCACCCTCATCCACTCGGGCGAACACCAGAGAACCAAAACAATCCAAAAAAATGTCACTCAAGCCCATCCAAGCATGCCATTTATGACTGATTATAGCATTGCTCGAGACACACAGACTCACAAAATAAAATCAAATGAAAGGAAACAAACGAAATTGAACAAATCCACAAATAGAACTACATTCGAACAGCAAAGACAGTACCAGAGTGCAGCTGTGTTCACAGAGAGGTTTGCATCAATACTATTAGATGTTTTTAAGATTCTATTTGTCTCAAGAATTTATCTTCCAATTCAAAATGTCTGTGGTAACTGAACATGACAAACATGGGCATTTTGGGGAAACATTCAATCAAAGTTTATCTCAGGGTGATCTTCTCTCCCTGGGGCTCAGATCAGCCAATGGACCGGGAGCTGAAATGGTTAAGTGAATGAGGTTTCCCCACAGGAAGATATCTCTAGTCCCCTTTAAGAAACTATAATGTTAAGAACCATGTGGAAACTTATCCTAAAACAGCTAATAACTTTAGCAATTGAAGAATCTGACAAGAAAGTTACAATTTAAAATTGGTTTAACTTTTTTTTAATTTTTATTATTATTATTTTATTTAAGAACTTCTGGTACAAAGAAACAAAAAATCAGTCATATGCAATTTTTAAACCCAACACGAGGACAAATGGAGCCAATAGTCTACTTGTATAGTAATGTAAAACAATGCATTTACGAAGGTATCATATAAATGAGAATGGTGTGAAAACTGCTATTACATAAGTAAGTTCTTTTAATATTTTAGAACAAACAAAAATAAGGCATAAGGAATCAGAAAGCTCTATTGTCTGTTAAAAGTGAAGAAAAAAAAACACAACTCAAATATCTAACTTTGCCTTTTTGATAAGCAACCAGAATGTAATTTTTCTTTCAAAACAATGTAATCCAACCCCTAACCTCAACCATATAAGTTTATACGTTGTTGATGTACTTTCTTGGGCCCATTACAGTGCCACGTACAGGGCTGTCATTATTAGAATGTTTTGGGTTTCATTTGGTGTGTTTGTGTGGAAAAAAACACATTTCTTGAAACAACAGCGTTCATAAGGATGTTTGTAGAAACTATGCATAAAGCAATCATCTTGCAAAACCGTTTGTTTCATCTAAATGTTTTGATAAAGCCCCTAATTAAGACCCCAACTGATGCTGGAGCACACTATACTTTGCACTTCATTATCCGTCGTTAGATTCTAAATGAAAATTTACTTTTAAATGTAAAGTTTCCTCAATGGCTCATGATAATGAGTCACCATACTTTCAAAGTTCTGAAAGTTACGAGTACATGCTCAGCTGAACTTTATGTCAATATGCAGTCTGTCATTATATGTGGAAATAAAACCCTCGCCTTTAATACCTTTAAAATGCACAGGCATTCCAACAAAAAAATAAAGAAATAAATAAATAATAGTAATAAAGAAAGAATCCCAATTGCATGGACACGCTCCTCATTCACAGAGACCAGGAGCCCAGCCGGCCCATTTGGAATTGAGAAAAAAGAAAACAAAAATCCACATTTCATGTGGTCCGATAACAATATGTAGTCTTATTTCAAGCCCCAATGTGGAGAGAAAGACAAGAAGCCATACACTGGACGAGGTGAGAAGCAGTCGAGAGAGAATGCCAGAGTATTGCACTAAGTGGGAGGTGTTGTGGAGGGATTTGTGTTGAAAAACAGAGGTCAGAAGGTGGACATTATTGGCTATTTTTGTGAGGCAGGTTTTGTTGCCCCAAAATGAAGGGGGAAGCCAAAATAATGTGCAGCCTTTAGTGTCACCTTGAAGCTGAGATTACACCCTCTTACTGCCTGAGGACACAGGCACAGTATGAAGATCCTTTAGTCACACTTGCAGGGTGAGTCCTACAACATTTACATTTAAGCTGCAGGGGTTGGCCTGTATTAACATACCTTTGCTGCACCACTGCTAAACTCTCCCTATGGGTGGCTCATCAAAATGGAAATTATTACCTAAAGGAAACTAACAGGAATCATGGCATGGCTATCTAATAATAAAAAGGGATTTGAGAGTGTTAACTATTGCTGTTGTCTTACAGGTACATGACAAGCAGCCAAGCTATACTGCAAGAACATTCCCCCACATGTATGATAATTCCAGTGCATGCCAAACTAGTTAGTAAGTTAATTAGATAGTTTATTAGTGAAGGAGGTAAAGGGCCATATCTTTTGTGTGGTGAATACAGGCACTTCTATTGCAAATGAGAATTTTTTTTTGGGCTATGTAAGGCAAACATCTAATAGAGATGGCTAGAATTTGCTTTGGCCAGTGAGAACATAAGGTGTAATCTAGCTTTCTTTCCCAACATTAAATACGGATGCAGAGCAGGACATGCAAGCACATTCACAAACAGGCAAATATCATAGTAGAAGGGAGAGCATGCACATGCATAACAGCACAGTCTTTCTGCATCAGTGTTTCTTTGTTGAACTGGGTCTAGAATTCTATAATTAGATTGAGTTAAAAATATATATTGTACTGTTAGCTTCTTTCCAAAGTGACAGCTGTTGATACTAAAGGTATGGAAGTAATGTAAAGTAAGTGGAAAGTTACAAAAGAAAAGGCAGCTGCTCCAACAGCAAACCACATGAGAAATCTTGTTTTGCTTCCATTTATTCAACCACATGGGGACATAAGATGTCTATAAGGGAAGACAATTCAAGTTTGAATTACGTGAATGAATGACAGCTACACATTTTATCTGTGTTTTGGATATTAGGCATATTTAAATTGTTAAAAGGTACAAAAATGACAGCAATTTATTTGAAAATATATTTTTGAGGTAAGTGCAAAGCCTTAGCAACTTTGTCACTCACAATCAGTCTAGTCCAGTCTAGTATATCTTATATAATTTACTTGGGTAACCTCAGTCAAATTAATGCAAAGTAAGCCTTTATGCAGCACCTGCCTTGTGTTAATGAGGGCTTTTCAAAGAAACGCAAAACATAAAAAGACAAAGTATCAATAGCTAAAACTCTCCTTTACTTTCCAAAGATTTTATATTATATACTCAGACAAGTTGAGTTGAAAATGTAACAGGTCAACTCACTACAGCAGGTGATGTGTGGTTCAGTAAAAATCTGATTATATTGTAAAAAGAAGCTGAAGCACACAGTGACAAACTGTGGGTTTCCCTGTGGGTTCACGAATCAGTTTGCATCCATCACTTATGGATTTTTCTGATGTTTAAGATCTATAGTGTGCATGTTAAAAATGCCGTTTACTTATATGAGCTTAAAAAAATCATAAATGACAATATAAGTGATTAAAGTGTAAATGTTTGTCCTGACTATGTGAAAGGCAGCTGCCAATCAATCAATAAAAACAAACCACATCAACTAAAAAAATACAAATATGTATATATGCATCTTTACTCGCTTGCTTGGCAGCACTAAATGCAATGCTGAGGTCATTGTATTGTTATTGATTAGCACAATATTGCAAATGGCATCTCTTAATGGCTCCCCAATATCAACATGGAACCCAATCAGGCCCAATCAGGTCTAATCTTTTTGGTAATGGATCACTCCAAAGCAGATGACAGGAACACTGGCTGTATACACATTTATAATTTCATTCGGCATTTGCAGTTGCACTCCGAGTATCAAGAAGCCGAGCAGTATCAGGTTGAAAAAGGAACACATTTTTTTTTTTTACAAACTAATGAACCACAAAAAAATGACATAGTACACAAAAAAACAAAAACAAAACAGAAATAGAACCATAAAAAACACACACACAACACCATCATCACAACTCAAAAGTAAAAAAAAAAAAAAAAAGCTAAAAATAGGGTTGTCAGGAACAAAAAATATTTTTAGAAAACCCAAGAAAGACAGGAAAAAAACAAAACACAGAGAATGCTAAAAGGAAAAGAAAAAAAAAAAAACATCGGGGCCAAAGGGGTTTTTGCACGGGCATGCAAGCGCAGTTACATTCTCCCATCATGCAACAGGTGCTGCTATTTTCATGTGCTGGGTTTCCATAACAACACATGCAAGTAAAGCTTTTAGGTGCAGAAGCAATACCAAAGGATGCAAAACGTGAAAAGGCCCCACAATGCAAACATAAAATTAAATAAACAAGACCCGAGCTAATCGGGGTTTGATTTCATCTTTTATTTGGAAATAAAATAAAAAAAAAAAAAAAAATGGTCTTTTAAAATTATTTAGCAGTTTGGATTAACTGTATTTATTTATTTATTTTTTTCAGATTAGTATATAATCGAGCTCTGCAAAAGGCAAATAACAGCTAAAATTTGTCAAACATGTTGAATTTTCTTTTCAAATGCGGGTTAAAAAAAGTAAAAAAGAAAAAAACACACCAACCTTCTCGAAGCTCTGAGGGATGTAAAGGGGTTGATGCAGAACACAATGACATGAGGAGAAGAGAAAAATAGGGGAAACACAGAGAGAGTAAAAAAAGCCACCTCAAGGTGTTTCGCTGCAGCTACATGTCCCTTTCCTTCTTTTTTTCCCCCTTTACCCCTGTCCCTGTCATCAGTGACACCCGTCTTCAAAGTACACTTGCCTGCCCTCCCCTTTAAATAAACTTTGAACCAAAACAATCAGATTCACCCCAGTGGTCGCTCTGCTGCCTGCTAAGGAGAAAGGATTGGGGCGCCACTGGAGTCAATTCAAGCGTACCATATTCATAATTCAAAATTTCACAAGCTTCTTATGGCCACAATGAGAGGCTCATGGGGGTGGCCACATTTTATTTAGCTAGAGAAGGAAATGAAATAAACAGAAAATAAACAAAACAAAAACAAATGAGAGATTGAAAAGAACAAATAAATTTTAAAAAAGACAATTCGGGGGGAAATTAGCAGCTGCAGTTCAAGGCTGGTAAGAAAAAAAAAATATTATTCTAAGAAGCCAATCAGCAAACACTGTCATTATGGTTGATGTTTGGGAAGGAGTCTCATTTGCTCCAGTACCCACATGCCTCATTTTCAGGGTTTCTCTCTCGTCCTTACAATTATCCTTCCACACAGCTGCTAATCTCAAGTGCATTTTGCTTCGTGAACAAAACATAGTCAACATCAAGTATCAGAATTGATCGACAAAAGTTAACTGAAAACAAACAAAGGCTGACACCATCACAGCATAACAGGTGTGTTACATAGTGTGAATGCACTGGAGTAATTATGAATCTGGAGTACTTTTGTAAAAGCATGCTCGTGGAGCCAGTGTTTGTGATAATATTGGATGTGTTTTTGGAAGTTATTTCAAGGAGTGGATGTATGATTTAATGTAAAATAGTTGGAAAATGTAAAAAAAAAAAGAATCATTCTTTACATAGATATTAATGATTTCTGTTGAGAGCATTTGGGTAAAAAATAAGACGACTAAGCTAGTGGGCGTGGCGGGCTTTGACATGGGGTTCACCACCAGGGCACAATACGGTCAATGGGCCTGAACTGGTTTTTTGTTGCTTAATATGGTGGCTAGTCAAGGAAGATGATGTAGAAAATACCTCAACAGAAAGAGGCTCACAAATGATGATTTGTTGGAACTCTATTTGAGATTCTTCTTTAGTGTTTAATTTAAGGGCTGCTTTACAAATTTTTCTTTCTTTCTTTATTTTTTTTTTTAAGGAAATCTAATGACAGATGCTTTAGGAAGTGTCTTTTGTGTTCTCAAAAATATAGCATAATTCTCTTTGCTCACCTAAAATAATCTGTTGCGGGAGGGGCTCGCCCAGAACGATGATCACGCAAGGACCACCAGATAGCAGATAGCTAATTGACGCCGCTTGCTGAATCACATTTGTACCAGCTCGTGCCTCGGCTAGATGAATGCTGACAGTCTTGAAGAACCATTTACTTTTTACCTTCAGCTCCCTGTAGTAGAATTTCTCCTCTCCACGCTTCTATTTCACTGAGTCTGATGATAGCAATAATAATGAAAAAGCAGCTCCCTGACCCATTTTATAATGTTGGAGTAGTGAATTATTTATTGGGAACAAAGTTATTTGGTACACAGCAGAGGGAACAAACCGAGTAGATACCGAGGCATCTTTATTTAATATGCACAATATAAATAATACATGCCGAAAATGCATCTGCTTCAATTTATTAAAGCTCCCTCAACAGGGATTCATTGTCATTTAGCATTAGTGGTTGAGGATAGGCTTTTGTCTTTATAGTCTGTTTCCTATGAAACTGTTCGCTCTGAATTATTGTTTTTATATAAATATATATATATCTTCATTTTGCATGAACATGCCAACCAAAATAAGTACAGACTGTAAAGGCCTTTAAAGACCGTACACAAAAGTAAAAACTGGGAAACCCTACAAGTTTACGCTCCAGTGCAGCATGAGGAAGAAATACAGGAAGTGTAGGATTTATGGTCAATCTGACAAATGAGCTGTGTGTAAAAATACAGTGCTTGTTCACTTTGTTATAACACAAATTTTCCTCCCCCAAAACTGGAAAAGGCAAGAAGGGGTGAATGATTTTGATTGGTGGGCAACATTACCTAGCCAATCAATCAAAATCAACACTTACCGTTGTGCTCCGTTACCTGTAAAACACTCATCAAATAAAAAAAACAAACAAAAAAAACAAAAAACAAAACCAAAACAAAAATATTTTCAGTGTGTTTTAAGGTTTCAACTTGAGATGTAGTGGGGAAACATTTGACTGGGCACACAGTTAAAAGGTCAAAGGTCTTTGGCAACTGATAACGTGAAGACATACGGCTTGTTGGGCTATACATTTCCTTCCGAGTGAGTAGGGGAGGGCATTGAAAGACAAAATGGAGCATCATAACAGAGAAGAACATTAGTTGGTCAATTATAGATTTACATTTGGAAGTTTCAGTGCATTAAAACAATTATGGGAAGGCATTGATATAAATGGTAGAAGATTTAAATTCCTTTGATATTAATTTTGCAAAACATCTTGTGCATACACTTCTAGATTAAAATGGAGTTTAGTGGAAGCAATTATAGTATTTAACGCTCAAGAATACCAATTAAAGATGAGCTGTACTGTGAAGACATTTTATTTAGACAAAGTAGATTTTATTTAGGTATTTTTTGTTACTTTTTTTTTTTTTTTTTTGCCTGGCTCAGCAGGCTGGTTGCTCCCTACCTCGCACATAAAGATTAGCGGGGGACGAGTAGCGTACGCCTTCCTCATTAGACGCCACGCACTCGTACTTCCCCTGGTCCAACTCCTCACTGTTCTCGATCTGCAGGGCACCTGGGGAAAGACAACATCCAACAAAGAAAAGGTGGGAAGGGGGAGAAACATGGAAAGAAAGAGAGAAAGAAAGCAGAAAATATATGATTAGTCTATCTGACACAAACAAATCAAACCACTGGGAATCACTTAAATTTCACACGGTCATTTCAAATACAGTCTCTCTCTGCAGCAATGCTGACGCAGGCTAGCTTGACTAACTCAGCTGAATTCCAGCCTCAGTCATTTGTCGACAAAAAGCTAAATAAATCAAAACGTGAACTGAATCAGTCATTTTGGGTTTGCAGCAATGTTTAAATTGTTAGCAAAAAGGAGCTATAAAGTCAAAAAAAGAAAAGCGTGATGAAATGTAAATTAGAAAAGTGTTAAGGTTACCTTGTAAGCAAAGTAATTAAACTGCAGAAGAAATTAATTGATCTTAAATTATAATTTTAAATAATGACCCAAAGGGGCTTAATACAGATCCATGCCACACTTTGCCTTTTTTTTTTTTTTTTTTTTTGCTAAAAGTTTTACAGGGCATGACTCGTCCCACTTTGCAAATCTATTGAGTGAAATGTTTTCCCATGTTCCCACTCATTTGAAAAGTAAGTTCAGTTCAAATGAATGAATAGCTTTTTGTTGTTTTTGGATTTCACATTTTGCTACACATGTTCAGGTGAATTTAGGTGCAGACTTTCACCGAGCTATTCTAAAACTGGAATATCATTTGATCCAACCATTCTGTTATGACTCTGGCTTTAAGTTTAGGCTTGTCTTGCAGGAACATGACCGTCAGTCCTAGTCTCTAGTCTTTTGCAGTCCTTAACATTTCTTCTAGGATGAACCTGATTTTAGCTCCATCCATCATACAAAGAACTCTGACTAACTCACCAACTCAAAATGCAGCCGAGGAAACTTGTTCCTAGTTTCGTCATGACCAGTCACACGTGGCAAAATTTGGAAAAGCTCGAGGAGTATGAGTGTATTTGAGAGGCAGACTACTACTCACTTTACTCTTTACTCATTTGGTCATTGTTTACGTTTTATCTCAAAAGACATGAACTACTTTTTAACATCATTACTGTTTTTTTTTTATGTTTTGGTTGGAGTTAACTGCATGTGTGCAAGGCAAGACAACCTCAGCACTCAGCTGCAACATGGGCAAAAGGCAGGAGGGAACAAAAGAGGGAGGTGAAACACCAGGATCATTCCTCGTTAGAGTGTTGTTGACGGCACTTCCTGATGATATCATTAGGGCCTCTGGCTGGCTCAGCAGACAGATTGTAGCCTGGGACTCTCTGACAAACACAACACCACCATCGCTCGTTAACGTTTAGCCAAGAAGCATCAATATGCCAGCAGCTGCCCCGAAAGCTTTGTAATATACTATAACGCTCTCCATCACATCTGCAAGCGAACACAATGTTGTACAAGGCCACCGCTCTGAAACAGTGTTCAAATAACACATTTCACCTCATCCACAAATTAGACAATCGATCCTGGTTAATTATAAAGATTAGTCACGCTTTTAGTCCGTTCGCCTCCTAATAGAGAAAAGAGTATTTGAGACCTTGAGGTGTGAGCAAATATATTTACCAATTTAAACGGAGAACAGACCTGAAGGTACAACAATCGATAGCGTTTCATTTTTCGGTTTTCTTTCACTTTCTCTTCATTTTGCTTTACTGCTCAGATCACCTCATCACTCAGAGGCCTCTGTTCCTGGCATGTACCTCGAGAACCAAATGAAAAAAGAAATCTGCCTGCAGAGTGCAGGTGATACATTTTTATTTTTTATTTTTGCTCTGGCTTTAAATGAGCATCTGATTTTGATCTGTTTGATGTGCGCTTGGAACAGCAAATGCCAGTGTGGTGGCAGGTGGATTGGAATGTGCTCAGAAGCTGAGACCACAAAGTAAGAAACGTATGAAGTTCAACTCCAGGTGGACAGATCCAGAAACCTCTGCCAGCGGCTTGTCAGACAGACTTCCTTCAGCTGAATTCTAAATATTTTGTCTGAACTCACCTTTGTTAAATCAAACAGCACAGCTCTACATATACCAATTTTGTTAAACTTCAGCTGGCTGATAATGATGTGGCAGCTTAAAAAAAACAACAAAAAAACCCCAAAAAAAAAACACAAATAAAAGTCCCATATAACGGTAAAAAAAATAAAAATAAAAATCTCAAAACAACCTAGCAAAATACAACAGCCAACAGCTAATAAGTAAAGTAGGAGCAAGGAAGAGAAAGAACTATGTCTGAGAACACCTCGGCAGTTTTATTTGCGCTCAGACTTCTGTGAAAGGAGGATTTCTCAGCAGGTGGTACAATGTGTTTCCAAGTTTTTACTGGTTTTTGCACAGATTCTACGTAATATTTCAAAATAGGGATTTGAAGAATGAATGGAGATTTTCTTTCATTTAAAGTACACACTGAGAACCATGAGAGAACAGAATATATATATATATGTGTGTGTGTGTGTGTGTGTGTGTGTGTGTGTGTGTGTGTGTGTGTGTGTGTTTAGTAGTACGTGCTACCAGTTAGGTTTTATGCTATACACACACTTGCCTCTTTATCTGGTACATCTTGCTTGGATTTCTCAGAGATTAGGCCAATTTTGACTTGATCTTAAAGAGTGGAAAGCAGTTAGTAACAATACTTTGGTCGACAGCAGCCATTCAGTGGTGTTCAGGTGGACACTAATGGTTCAAACAGCCAGGTTTCACGTAAACGTGTCTGCCCATTCTCATCTGACATCAACAAGACACTTTCAGTCAACTGACTGATAAGGTTACTGAATTTTGCCTCTTTTTTTTGGACCATTCTCTATAAACCTGAAAACTAGCTGTGAAAAAAATAAAATAAAATCCTCGGCGTGGTGTAGATGATGGCACATCTAGATGTCTGAATGCACTGAGTCACTGCCATTTCCTATGGCAGTGACTCATTGCAGTCTATCAAAATTTGTATCCTTAACCAATTGAAAACATGTGAAAGTGACTGGTGAGTCTACATTTCTGCCACAATAACATGTTGTCTAATATTATTCTGTTTTCCAAAAGAAGCATTGATTAATTTTAATCACTCAAATGTGAATATTACATTTTGCAATTAAAGCAGAATACCCAGTTAAACTATATTCAATACCAACTGACTTCTAAGAAGCAGAATGAAACAGATCTCCCTTCATATCCTGAAGCTCCAGGAACACCAGGGTTTTTTTTTTTTTTTTACTATCATTTCCTTTTGTCCGTCTCTCTTTCTTTAAGTGACTGCACTCTGTGTGTGTTTTGCATAATTGCACTCTGCGTCCTCCGCCAGCCCGTGGCTCACCAGAGCGCATGTGGCCAGGGGCATTTTTCTTCTTTTCTTCTTTTATCAAGAAAAGACGGAAACATAAGGAATGAAGTAAATGGCAAAAATTATCTTCTATGAATGCAATAAATAAAGCCATGCACTGAATCTGCTCGCAGCATGAGTGTTTACAGATAAAGACGTGCTTGGTGGTAAACGGCTTTTTTTCCCCAAAAAAATGGCTGTTAGTGTGCTTATTAAGAGAGTCCACCAAGCAGCTTGATAGGATGCTGGCCCTTTTGTTTTTCCCCTACAGCTTTTAGGTCTTATCATAAACATCAATGGTCATAACTGCTGCAAACAATTTGGGTTTGCTTCATTTTAGAAGCAATTACAAAAACAGCTGGTACGAATAGTTTGCTTGTAAAAATAAAAAATAAAAAAAAGTTTTGAATAACAATTCTAGTTATTGTATGACATCATTCGATTCTGACTTCAACTGAAGAGAAAGAAAAAAAAAACTCTTGTTATGAATAATATGAGCAACATCCCTGGAGAAAATGTAAATACATAGTTATATAACTTTGATTTACTATGATAATTACAATTCTAATTATAGATTTCTATTTATAAATGGAAATATTTATGCATCTTAAACAATGCCTCGTCAACAACAACAACAAAAAAAAGTATATACTTTGAGTTTTTGACATGAAACAATCACAAAACTCCAGGCCGGGAAACAACCCCCGGCCTGGGTTGTTTGTGCATGGAGTTGAACTTGTAACATCAAAAAGATGGGAAACTTCAAGGCGTGTGAATACTTTTGAAAGAAACTTTATAATGAAATTTGATAAATACTGTGTGAGGCATTTTCTTCTGCAATGATACGGAAAGCTAAAATAAAATAGACGTGACTGCTGATGGAAAGTAATAGTGGGAATTGATGCGATAATCTCCATTTACTCCCTACACTGATGTAAAAAAATAAATAAAATACTAGTCAAGTTATATTCAACGTTATATTCAAAGAGAACACTGAAACTTTTTTTTTTCATTTACTAATGTACTGTCATTTTTGGGGGGGTTTTTAATCCAAAATAAACAATCTATATAAGGCAGACACATACTTCCTGAAAATGATAACCTCATCTTCCATCTGGACCAGTTCCTCTTCAATTTAGTCAGAATAATCACCAAACACTTACATCTTTCATCCTCCACTGCTACCCACTCATGGCTGTCTCGCAGCATGTTCACTGTCTTCATCCATTCAGTGGAAACGGCTGTAATGGGAGCAGAGTCTACAACAGTTGTCCCAGCCACAACAGCTGCCCTATTTAACAACACTGTGCAGGTTGATCTGATGAGCAGTGAGGTGCCAAGGGTTTGATAAAGGGAACTGTCTGGACACAGCCCAACACTTTATTTTAGAAAATGATTTTCAGACTCATTTCATTTAAAATGTTGGCCAGGGGTCGGCATGGGTGATTTTGTCCTTAGGGAACGTCTTTTTGCTTTTAAACATTCTGCCAAGAAGACCCCGTTTTAACATGTTTCTAAAGGTTTATATCTCTTTTTTAAAACAAAAAATGAAAATAAATAATAAATAAACCTGCTTGACAACAAGAAAATGACAAGAGAGAAACACAGAAAGAGAATAACAGTGGAAAGAGGTGGAGCGAAGAGTTGAAGTGACAGAAAAGCACGCAAACACAGAATGACAGAAATGGGAGTAAAAGAAAAGTGAGGAGGGGTCGGCATGGATGATTAATTTCCAAAAGTGCCTGAAGCTGTGATCTGCCCACCCCGCACGCTGCTTTATAGCAGTTTCACCATGTGTGCATCCCTCTCAACTCCTAACCCCCCACCCTCAGTCCCATTTGTGTAATTCAATTAGTGTGCTCCAGCGGACCTTGATTGATTTGTTTAGGCGATCTACAAAATGGCTGGCCAAGCCTTAGTCTTTTCTTTCCCTCCCTCTTGCTCCTTCTGCATCCCGCTCAGGCCTGCTGGTGGCACACTGCTCTTTTCATCATTTTATCTTGCTTTTGCAGTTCGCAGCTCCTATTAGTCCCTCATTTCTCCTCATCCAAACACTGCTCACTAATGCTCTACTATAGTCCAATTAGAGCTCCAAATTAGCAGCTTACTGAATCGGTGGACACATAAAGATAATAACCTTTGCAGTACATGAATTATACCCACTTAAGTGCAGAGCCAACTGTAGGATTCTTAAAAAAAATATTGAAAGCTTTAGTTTTCTGATATGAAGAGGAGGAAAAAAATAATTGTTTAATAATTGCAGCTTGGCTACATGAATGCTACCTAGGTGGTAGGCTTCACATTTTGTATGAAAGCCACTTCAAATAAAATTCATACAAAGTAACAGTGCTGCAGATGACTCAAACACATTTGGCCGCTGTGAATGACAACATCTCAGAGGCAGCCAGTGTCACTACATGGCAGCCACGTCTGAACTCGCTATACTCCCTCTGTCTCGCTCCTACGTCCGCGCCCTCGCCGTCACTCCGGCAATGCTCTGTCACCACCACAAGGTCACTATGCTGCGACCGCAGCAGCATGGGGCTCCACGTGTGATGCCATTGTTGTCAGAGCCCATCTGTTGTTTTTTAGCGCTTCTATGGAATCAGTAATGACGCAGGTAGGAAGTTAAGCTGCCTTTTACACACGTCTCGCACTTCAAGGCCAGCACCTGCATGGTTCCGTATCAAAGCGAAATAAATTCTATTTCTGAAATCCAAATTATTTTTTGCATGAAAGTGATACGAAAAAGACTTGAGAATGGGGCTGCATTTTGCTAGAATAGGCTGGTATGATCACCAAAGTACTTACGTGATTATTTTGAATAAAGAAGCATAGCATGATTTTAAAGAGGGATATTATGTATTTTCCAAGCACAGTGTACCACTTTATAACACAATCTTGCAACCGTTACCGTCAATTGTCAATTCAATGCAAACTTCAAGAGACACCTTCAAGTTTGCCTCTGTAAGAAGCTATTATTCTTTCTGACACTCCACCTTCAGCACCTCATGACAACAATTCTCCTCCATTAGGCCGTTTACAACTGTTCTTAGAAAAGCTGGACTGAGAATTAGTTTGTATAATAAGCTCGGCGGACACACAGTTCCACCAGGTGTTTGATAATTGCCGCTGACGGTAGTCTGGAGGAGCTGAGTGGAGGAGGTGCAAAGGAAGAAGTGATCTGTGAAACGGAAGCTCAGCTGGAGACTAAAAAGCACCGAGAACAAGATTTTTGGTTAAGTAGGTAAGAGCAAGCGTTTGGTTAGGCACCCCCGAATGGCTGATGTTGGAGATTTGAGGATTTCTCAAGCATGCATGAAAGAATCAAGGCAACACTCCAGGTATGTTTTTGATGAGGGAATAAAATTATAACATGATTTAAAGCTCAAAAAAGTTGATTTTATGCAAGCTTTCTTTTAAAAAACAAAACAAAAACCAAACAAACAAAAAACATTCCAATCTGGCTTTCTTGTGAGCAGTGTAATGTGCAGAAGCCTTCTTTCAGCTACCTGGCTGTGGGTGAGAATAAAATTGCCTCACTATGACAGAAACAAAGTAACCGATTCAGAAAGTTTGGGTCATTTTCTATAACTTTTTAACCGTGACTCAATTAAATGTACCGTACTAATTGTGCAACGGCAATGGGTTGGGTTTTCTTGGTTATCAAAAAATTATCACTTTTTTTAGAGGTTTTTTTTTTTATAAACAACCAACGTTGTCTTTGTTGTTGATATGGAGATGTAATAGACGAGCAGAGTTACTCTGTGCAACATACTGCTGGGGAAAACTCTGGTTATTTCAGCACTTTCTCTTTTTCTGTATTAAACATGGGTTAAAACATGCCACAAACAAACAAAACACTTTAGTGATTTTTGAAACCAAACCTTTTCAAATTCCAGTGTAACCTTGTTATCACAAAATAGTCTGTGCCCGCATGTGATATGTAGTCTTGTCTATTTTGATATAGGCCACGCATTCCTAAAGGCAAGTCAGCATAGGCATAGAGTAATGCAGTGGGGGGAAAAAAAGCCCTAGGCTGCTTATCTAATTATGCAAATACAAAGTCCATGAATAATGTTAGCTTTTGTTCACTGCAATATGATTTATGAGCCTTTCTTAATCAAACAAAGAGATGAAGAGGGAGTTTGGTTATATCTTTAATGAGTGAAGGCTTTAAAAGGTGACTAAAACTTCATGATGTTAATGTATGATTAGAAATGCATGACTTTAACCTCAAAGAGAGCTGCATTGAAAAAAATATATAATCATTTCTTTGGCTGTAGCAAAACTGTAAACCACAAACGTTTATTGCATCCTTTCAAATACATGGCCAATCCTGTCAAACTGAGAAATTCACTTACCTGTTCAGGCTGTGGAACAAAGGCATTTTTCAACAAACACACTGAAATCACATTGAGTCACCAGGGAAGAATATGTTTGAGCAATAACACCTGATGGATAATTACAAGTGAAAGTTAAATTGTCGGGGGAAATGAAAAGAATAATGAGGGGAGATGAGGAATTTATTGTGCAGTGATTTTGTGTAATTCACAGGAGTTGAGCGCCTTTACATCTATGTCACTGTGGTCTTTCCTTTATATCCTTCCGTTAATCCGCCGCCGTTATCAAAGCTGAACTGTGGATGTTGCCAATTCTCAGAAGGCAGCCAGTGCACCCAGAAACACCCCCCTTTAGGTTTGTAGGTACAAGCTGCTGTAGAGCAGAGTGGAGGGAATTAAATCAAAAGTAATTTATGCCAGTTTTTTCCCCTGACATATCTCAAAGTACGAGGGAGGTGCATTTACATACGTGACGTGGCGGTGAACGGAAAGATCAAAGCAGACAAGGAGAGGGAAGAAATGAGGTTACTGAAGTCTTAAACAGTTTCCAGCAGAACATAGTCTGGTCTTATCAACATCCAGGGCCACCGACTCCAAGCTTTTCATTTCCGCTCATTTACAGCTATGAGTTTGCTCAAAATATTTAGCTGTTGAGGTACAACACCACTATTTTCTAATGTCACATTGCTCAGTGGGTTCATTGAACATACGCGTTAGTGAAGAGAAAGGGAAAACACAGAACACACATGTAAGACTAATACATAAACAATGAGATGAGACTGAAACACACAGGTCTGAGCGTACAGAAAACATGGTAGACAGACACGAATGTCATAATGACGTTAGTACAATAGAAATTTGATTTTCTTTTTTTTTTTTTTTGTCTCATATTTAGTAACTTTGGTTGGATTAGAGGTGGTTATGTTTGTTTATGATTCAGTTAAAATATGTTTATTCTGTTCTTTTATTTGTTCATTTTTACTCTAAGCACCTTACCTCGAATCGGGGTACCCTCTGGAGGAGACACAAAAGTGAAGACATAACATCAGTTCAGCTCTGGGTTAATGTTAGTATACGTTAGAAAGTATTTGGGATGGAAAGGTCACTGAACTAAGTTATAATACCATTAGAAATTATTTAACAGACAATAAATAAATAAAATGTATTTCTCTGCTGGTATCACAAAAGAAAGAACATGCTTTTATGATTGGGGCTTTCTTTTAAATTGTTGCTTTAAATATTCTTTGATGAGAAGTGCAACAATTTGATAGAATTAATAACCTGAAGTATTTTATCATACCTGAAACTCAGGTATGAAACTGAGCAGAACATGATAAATTTGATTTGCTAATTTGGTATCATTAAGCATTTTTTTTTTCCAACCATAAGAGGTGTGTATAACAGCAAGAGTATTTGATACTGGAAACAAAGATTTGCTAGAATTTCATACTATAACTTAAGGTAACACTTCATATCTTAAATAAAAGTTATTCTTTCTTGTGCAAGACATAAACCTTCTTAAATGTGACAAGGACTCTGCCTTGAGGTTCATCATGTCTCTGCAGTCATTTGATCCCCTGGCTGCTTCTGTTTTGTTTGTTTTTTTTTCTCACTAAGAGCTTCGTTTTTTATTTATTATTTACTTTGAGAAGGTATATTGTTACATACTCGCCTGCAAGCCAAATGCTTCATTAGGGACAATAAAATATTGAGGTTTTTTTTTTTTTTTTTTTTCCCAATTCTTGGATGGTGGGTTTTTAAAGATGTCTTTGCTACAGAGCTTAAATCTGTTTGCACAAGGAAAGCAGTTTGGCCTCAGCCCCTTTGAATTCAAAATAACTTTTCCATTCATCTTATTGCTTTTTTTCCTGTTTTCTTTTTATTCCCCTTTTGCTTACTTATTTCTATTTTTTGCCTTTCACTCTGTTTATATATGGAGTGTCTCAGTACTTCCTTACAAATCTATTTCCTCAGAAAACCTGTGCCCTTCCTCGTGTTTTCAAAAAGCTAGCCGGGCAAATCAATCCCAGAGAGGAGCCCTGTTTCACATTTCCGGCCTGCTGGCCCAGTGCTAAGCATCAAAGCTATGTACTTTTCATCAAGTTTATCCATGAAGATCTCAGCCTTCTCATACATTCAAGCTATTTTAAACTAAGTATTAATGTCCAACAATTACTTACTTGTAAGTAAGCTATAGTTTTCCTCTTTCACAAATGGAAAGTCCATATTACAATATCTGATCTTACCAAAAATGAGTGGCATTATGCTCAGTATTATACACATAACAAATTAACCTTTGTCTCCTCTTGGGTTCCCCTTTCAGGAGTTACCACAGCAAATCATCTCTCCATAGTCCTACATCAGCATAATGATAAATGCTTGACAACACATATTTCAAAATGCATTATTGTATTTCTGCATAAAGGATCTTCTTTTGTGATACCAAAAATTAGTACTCATTGAGTTTAAAGTTCTGTCTGGTTTGCAATGAACCTTCCATCGTTATATTCTTTTTTAACAATGTGTCTTAGCTGTGCTTGAATTTTTATTAAAACTGCCTCAAAATTTTAGACCCGGAATATAAGGATGCCAATTGACACAACAGTAATAAAAATAATGATAATAAAAATTATAATAATAACAACAGTATATTAACTGATGAATATGTAATGACTTTCACAGTGCTCTATAAACAAGCATTAAAATAATTGTTGTGAACACATCACAAAATTCATATATGGTCATTAATGAAAACAGAGAGTCATTGAAAAACCAGACAAAACTAATATGACATTTTAATATATATATTTTTTAAATGATACATATAGTTAGGTAAGTCACAAGACAAAGGACATGGGACACTGGGAAGGTTATGTTGTTAGAGTTAGAATTGATTAGAGGCTGCAGGAAGCTGGTTTATTTAGCTTTAGCTGAGATGAATTTTAGCTAGGAGTTAAGAGGTTAGAGGTCAAGTTAGGTTAAGGTTAGAGCAAGGTTAGGGTTAATAGAGCAGGTTTATACAAGGGAGTTCAGTTTACATCAATCAAAAAAAGAAAAAAAGTGACAAAAAGGTAAAATAGGGTGAAATAAAATTTGTGAGGTGGGTGAGGGGCTAGTATTTGTCGAATATTTTAATTTTCAAAACTGAAACACCATAAGCAGACCAAATTAAACCAGGTAAAAAAAAAAGCAACAAAAAACAACAAGTTAGACTGTTGGGCACATGTGGTTTTCAATTACAATATCAAATCCACGACATAAAACATTTCGGCCATAAGCTTTCCTTCTAAGCTTCGGTCAACCAGGTATTGAACAAATTAGCGGAACAATGACCTAAATACATCTCCACATGCGGCATCTTCCTCAAGCTATCAAATGTAGTATTATTTTATTTCTATAGAACATCCATCTGGTTTGTTCAACAACCTTCTGAAAGCGTTAAAAAAAGTAGCACTAAAGGCTATCCAGAGGCAGTCTGGCCCGAGATGTTGCACATCTGCATGTAAGGCAAACGAAGTTGCGTGATTGGCTGAGTGTCAAAGTCTGACCACCCTCCAGAGGGCATCTGGCTGACCTTCACTTTGCTCCAAGCCCCCTCCCTCATGAGTCTGGTTGTGTGGTAGCAGCCCAGAAAAAAAAGCTCTACTGTTACTACATCTGCAGAGGTCCCAGCCTCTCTTCTCCAGAGAGCCTTTGATGCCAACATGTGTGGTTGAACGCACACAAATTCAAAATTTGAGAGAGTGACGATCCTTGCAACATCAAGTTTAAGCATTTTTTTTTTTTTTTTTAAATAAAGGGGCCGATAATATTTATGAATACTCATCCTCTCACTGTCATTGTGGCCTGTAGTGAATCATTCTAGTTGACAAGGCCAGTGAAGGCCTGGGGTCTGCAGTCATGGGAACTGGGGAGAAATGTCAGGCTCCCAACACACCTCTAAAGGAACTCCTTAGGGGACCCTGATGCAAATATCACTGCCCCACCAGCACAGCATGTCTGGAACATACGGAACCAGTCTGCCAGCTATTCTACCAGCTAGAGAGCTATCTTGCAAACACCATTTTCTCCTTTTACAATGGCAATATTATTATTATTATTATTATTATTATTATTATTATTATTATTTCTGTTTTCAGAGGGTTGACAGTCGAGCCACATTTTTCTAGTAGCTAGAAAAATCTGTCTATAACTTTGTAGGATTTATTGGAACAAACTATAGATTCTGAAGGTTAAAGTACTCTTCTTATCATCCAAAGTCAACCATCAGATTTCAGTCCACTTTGTTTTTAATCATCATCATAATTCTTAAAATCATTCCTAGTTGCTAAATACCACAGGGTTATTTTACATTTAATTTATCTTATCATAATCTGACGTTTCCATGCACTGAGATTAATAAATCTTTAAGCAATTTGGGAAAGCATTAATGATGACGCCATGGCACTAAAACACTCTGAGGAGCCAATGTATAACATTTCAGTTAAATAGAGGCACAAAAGCAAGAAACTAGAGAAGTTTGGACCTGGCTGATGGCCCCACCTTTTATTGAAATAGTTATGCTCATGTATGAAAAACATATGTCTGTCCATCCATCACAGAGTTCAGGAAGGAGACAAATTATGAGCAAAATATGATCAGCCCCAGAAAGAAAGTAAAACATTTTGTGCTGACTGAAGCAGGTAGGAATGTGTCTTTTCCTACAGAGAAACAAAACCTGAACTGATATGGTATAAAAAGCCACTCAGTGAGGAGTCATTATTACTCCAAATGCAACAAGATGGATTAATGGATGGAGCAATGAAAGAATGGAAGGATAGATGGATATTCTCTCGATCAATAGTCCGATAATATATCAAATCTAAATAATTTTGGTAATCCTAAATAAAAGATGTGGAGGATTTTCTCAACGAGGAATCCCCACTTTAAACTTTGCTAATGTAGGCAGACCACTCTGCCTTCGCTATCAATATAACACTCATTTTCAGTTTCAGTGGGGTCTTTTCCACCAAACTGTTTCCAGTACTTAACTGGAGGTACAGCTTCTGTTGCATCAGGTCTTTGTGTTTGACAGAACTTTTGTCAGGAGGCTAAAGGCAGGTTTATGGGGAAACGAGGTAATCAAATAGTTTTAAACGGTGTTTTGTGGGGGTAGGGCGATCCCTGCAAAAACGCAGTAATTTAACAATAATAACATTTTAAATTAGCATCTACATAACGAAATCTTTTTAATCTACCTCCAGTAATTTCAAATTCCCCATCACTAAATTTAAGTAGGTCACTGTACTGTTACAGCTGCAGTAGCAGGTGATGATTTTTTCCTGAGTCAGTTCTTTAACACTGCCCGCCTCACGTCGTCTTCTAGTGGTGCTAATAAATGCTGTTCTAAGAAGTTATGTTTAACACATCCACTAGTACACATACATCGCTAATAAGCTGCTTGTTGTTTAAAACAGCTTTATGATTCTGAGGTGGTGATATTGGGTACTCTCAAAAGTGTTCCGAATACACTTTTGAGAGCACACTCTAAGAAGTGTACTTTAGAAGACACGATAAAAAGTCTATAGAAACAATTAAGTTCAATGCCGTGTTAATATCCTGACGCTGGGACAGATCATGTATCAACCAGGGTGCTGTGGTGGCACTAGGGTAGAGCACAACTCATAAGGAGACCTTAGTCTGCGGCCGTCGCAGGTTCGATTCCAGCCTGATGATCGTTTGCTGCATATCTTCCTATGCTGTCATTAGTCACTTTCCTTTCTAACTACTTTCAAATAAAGGCAGCATGACCCAAAAAAAAAAACATTTTAAAATAGAGATATTTTATTAATTTACTTCTTTAATTGAAGTAAACTAATTTTTTTGAGTAAGACTGACTTAAATTTGTCAAGTTAAGCCAACGTATTAAATTACATTGGATTTACTTGTTACCAACCAGAGCAGATCAATTCAGTTGGATCTACTATATGCATTTTTCAGTGTACGGGGTCTTTGAAAAACTAAAATAACATGTCAAAACATATATTTAAAATAATTAAATTCTAGCTGTATTTTAAGCACAGTGTGAGTGATAATGTAATATTGGATATTTTAGTTTTTTAGTTTGGAGCAACTTAAATGCTTGAGTTCGGTTTCTGTAGAATTAAGCCAAAGAGATCTGAATTATCTATTAAAAATAAACAAATGATTTGAGTAAGAGTCAGTTAAATTTGTCATGTTAAACACAATGAATTAATTAATTCATTGAAAAACTTTGTAAATTAAGATGGATAAGCTTAAAGAATTGAGGTGGATGATCATAGAATATTGAGTTGGATGAACTTAATGAATTGAGTTGGATGATCATAATATACTGAGTTGTAAAACTTGGTAAACTGAGTTGGTCAGACATAGGTCACCAAACTGGCAATGAACTCAATTGTTTCAAGTAAAGTCAAAGTAAAAAGATCATTTAAGTTACTTAATTTAAGTTAGCACGTTGTCAGCAATAAACCAAATGAATTAAGTTAATTAATGTAAAAAAAAAAAAAAGTCTTTTAAATGAACTATATCCAAAAACACTTTTTAGAGTGTTTAAAAAGTTGGGGGGAACCAAAAGAAAATGCTAAAAATGAACAGAGGAAGACCATGGGGAACACATTAAAGAAAGGGAGAAGGCAAGAGTTGGGGAGCGAGAGATGCATGCATTTTGGGAAGTGGTTTATGCCGTCTGCTTCAAGGAGAGTGAGTTGGTTTTATGGGCTTTGCAAGTCACTTACCAAATCTTTCTGAAAATGACAAAGCAAGAAAAAGTAATTAGAAAAAAAAATAACAACATAGCATTTTTATGGATAAAGTTAGGTTAAGATTGCCAAATATCCAAATTAGTTAAAATCTAGTTATTTGTTGCGCTTTTCTAACAATGGTGTATTTTATGTATCAACGTAATGTTTAATTTATGATGATTATTAATGTTTGCTTACTTTGTAATAATAATGTTAATAGCCGTAGCTTTTTGGGTTTTTTTTTTTTTTTTTTTTTTGATCATGTTAATGTTGATGTTAAACTGTGCTATGAATCAAAAACAAATGCAAAGTGTTTGAAGGCCCTGTGATGTGCGACGACGCACATCACGGTCTCAGACACCAACAAAGACAAACATTTTAACAGAGAGACAGCAGAACAACTGTTAAACAGCAAACACAAAGAAAGTTCAAGGCATCATCAGACAGACAGACAGACAGATGATACAGAGGTTAGACAACACTGGAAGCTGGATCTCTTTTATCCATAGCAGCTTAAAACTAACAAAGGCACATGGAACAGGTTAAAGATTTTTACAGTTTGACAGGTTAAACAGTTTTTCAGAAGCTGGAACTCGCCATTTAAACGATCAAAGAACAGGATAGTAAATTGCTGATGGGGAAAACAAATGTAACTGAAAAACAAACATTACAGTCTATAAAATATTGATCTGACTGGGATTAATATGTATGGGAAAGACATCCCAGGACACATTCCAACTGTGTGTATCAAGATATCTTCACACTACAAAATGTGAAGAGTCGAAGTTCATCAATACAATTTTGGGAACTATTTTGTTTTTTTCTGAAAAGGTGTTATGTCCTGATTGTAATTATTCTCAGGAACATAATGACTGTTTTCTTTCATGTAACAAAGAAACATTTTTACCTATGATAATCAGGTCAGTATCCTGATTACGCTGTATTTTTTAGATGTAAAAGAGTAAAATAGGCCAAACTTTTTATACTATGTATAAAAAATAAAGATATATTTCAAATTGTTGATTATTTTCTGTTGTGCCATCACATATACTTCCAATTAAATCTAATTACATTTGTGCTTGCTGTGCGGTAAAATATGAAAGTTTAACAGGTATAAATACTTTTACACAGCACTGAATTTTTTTTTACAATGGACTCCAGAAATCTGTAACATCACATGCAATATTTGAATCAGACCTTTATCCAAAGATATACATTTAACAACTTTTCTCCAGAGGAAAAGTAGAGAAACTACTTTTGACTACTTTTCTTGCAGAAAAGTAGTTACAAAAGCATACAGATATGTAAAATCATATTCAACCACTATTCATTTTTCTGCCTTTGTAAGGGATTAATAATAAGATGACATATCAATAATCCTGACTGTGCAGCCTTCCAGGGGTCTCAATTAGGGCAGAAACTCAATGGTGACAGAATCTTTATTTAGAGGCCTCGTTCCTGATTTACGATTGCAGCAACAAATCAAAGGAGAGTCATTGGATTTTTCAAATGGTGACAAATCATCGACCTAAAATATCTACCCCTGTTGCCCAAAGCCACTGCAGGGCCTGCTCTTAATTAGCAATATAATTAGACATTGCGTTACTGGGGCAATCTGTGGGCTTTAATCAATCTGAACAAGAATACATTTCCACATCTGATTTCACTGTGCAGAATGCGGACAATGTTGTCACTGTCCAACGAGACACAGTTTTTTTTGGATATTGAAATGTTGAAATGTAATTCACCTTTATTCTAACTGGACTTATTAGTAGTCAATTTAAACAATCAAATCAAGGAATTCTGACACATGATTTGTAAAAACATAAAATTTACTGATATATACTGATATTGGAAGTGCGGGAATCTGCTGCAAAAGAAAGAACACAACAACAAAAAAAATCATAGCATAAGCTTTCCTTACCAGAGCGCAGTTGCTTGATCCGTCCATCGCTTGTATTTGGATCTATGGGCAGGAAGTCTTTGTACCAGGTGATTTCTGGGTCAGGTTTTCCACTGGCAGAACAGAGCATGGTAGCCGTTCGAGTTCTCTCCACCACTTTAAGCTGAGGACCCATGTCAATGTTAGGGAAGCCTGGTGGCAGAAGGTCCTCTGTGGAGGAAACAGGAAAAGAGGCCATGAAAAAGCACCGTCTTAGGAAGTCAAAACGTCTCCTAAACATGGATTTATGAGGAAAATCTCACTCAAACTTGTTTCTTTTTAGCTTTTTAGAATTTTGAGTTTTTGTCATTTTTTTCACAGCTCCAGCTTAATTTATCCTATCACCAATTCATATTCACAATGTTGTATCAATAAGGTGTTATTGCATCCTTATCTGTTTCCACGTTGTACCCCAAACCAACTTATGTTTCTATCCCAATTGGGATGCACAAACTTAACCACTGCCTCGCAGGTTATTTATATGTAGTAAATTATTTTGATAAATTGTGGAGACAAATTACCATAAATATGTTTAAATCTTAGATAATATTTTAAATACATATTGTCTGCTGAAAATTTCACCATATATACCTGAATGTTTCCCCTAAACCTACCCTAAGAATAACTGATTTAAGAAAACTTTACATAGATATGAAAAATTTCATAACTTCTGGTTCGTCAATTTTACTGAAATGTCAGTGATCAGCAGGCCGGATGTCAGTGATTTCCAGGCACATAGTACAAACATAAATCAAAGTAATCTGACTTCACAATTTGTTCCCTTGGAATTGGCCTCTGTTTCATTAAGAAGTTCCCACTCTGACCCTTCAACTTCAACATTTGAACACAACAATGCCACTCAACTATGCCTTTTACAGCTGTTCTTAGGAAAATTAGACTGAGAAGTAGATCATATGGTAAACTCAACAGAGTCACAATTCCACCAGGTGTGTGCTAATGGCTGCTGCTGCTAGTCTGGTGGAGCTTCGTGGTGAAGGCGTGCGGGAGGGAAGCTGTGTGAGGTGGACGCTCAGCTGGAGACTGCAGCTCCAAAAGAGGAGCTTTGTGGAAATAGTCAGCAATTTGTAAGAGGAAGCGTTCCATACAACCAATTTGTAAACTGCCGAGGCAATAAAGCATTTTTCTTTTATTTGAATTAAGATGTTGTCCTGAAAAACATCAGGTTTAAACCTAGAGTTATACAAACATATTTTCAAAATAGGATATCTTGTAGTATTATAACATAATAATGTCTAATGTTATTCCAAAAGACAAGTCCAGTTAATAAATGACACTGCCAAGCCATCATTCACCATAATGTGCTCTATCATTTTTTTTTCTTTTGAGAAATGTGATTGGTTATGACATGTTTTGTTTAATAAATGATGCACACGAGGTACTTCGTTAGACATATAGTATATTCCATTATCATTACTCTTAAACCACTTCAGACACCACCACACCAGTTGGCCCTTGTTCAAATATAAACAAAATCCAAGCAATTTTCCTAAAGCTAATAATCATGCATGATTGAACCATCATTTCAGTTTAAGAGATGACAGCTTAGTGCACTCTGTGGTCATTGTTCTCCTCCCTACTGTCTTTGGGCAATTAGTCCCATGGGTCAAATTGCCTGACCTTTTCTCTGGCTGGAGCCAGAACAGTGATTCATTCTCAGATGACAAGGGAAGTACCCAGAGCTGTAATATGCATCTGAAGCTCAAGGCCACATCCCAAATGGGAGAGGATTGACCGACTGAGATACTGGCCAGTGGCACAGCAGAGTAGCATTTGGCAAGCCAATGACCTCATGCCTATATTACAGTCATCACAGCGGCCTCTTTGCAACATGATAAGCACTAAATTAAGGAAAATTAGGACAGAAACTTGAATCACAGTTTTAGTTGGAGACCCCTAAATCAGGACATCTGGTGTTTATCAAGGGAGTTCTGGGAATGGAATACAAAAAGACAACTTCCAAATATGAGGGGAAGAAAACCTCATTGTCTCAAAACTAAATTGAGGCAGGTAGTCTCTGAGGCTGATATAAGACCACAATGAATATTTCAACGATAGGTTCAAACACTACAGGCATTTTCACTGTTATGTTTCGAGCTGTTTCCTCTCCATCACTTATTCATAACCATCTCTGTATTAATCCTTCATACCAGTTCATCTGAAGCCCACAAAAGCTTTAGCCGGCATTTTGCTTTACAAAGTTATACACCTGGTTCTTACAAACTCCCTTCTTCGAGTGTCATCAATGATCTATGTATAAGATACAATCGAAGGTGCTGCACTTATGTACGCCTCTTGCTAGGTCCCATCTGTTAGAAAAGCATATCTGCACAGGGTAGCTCTGCCTCACACCACGAGAGTTGTATCTGATGCATTTGATACCACTGGCCCTATCTGGACAACAAATTGCTCTAAATTCATGGTAGGAAAACATTAAACCGAGGCCACTACAGGCCACATTTGCAGAAGCGCGAGAATACACACTGACTAAGTGGATTTGAAACTAATTTGATTAGGCAGAAGACAGAGGGAATGTGCGCGAAGGAGCAAAAGAGGGCAGAAAGGTGGGTGAACAAGCAAACAAGAATGCTTGGATTATGGATTTAGGGATAGATTATACCACCATTACATCTGCTCTGACCTGATACGGCACCAGCAGCTTTCCTGAACAAACGGCATGTATGTTGGCTGCTCACTTTCCTGGAAATAGAGTCTGATACAATCTTTCGCCCTGAAGCTTACAGGCTGTGTCGATAAAGGCGGTCATGCAAAAATAAATAGATCACTCATCGGGGGAGTGGAACTTTAGGGTTAGCCAGCCTGGATATGAAGGCAACTGATATGGACAGAATCGTATCCCAGTGTTCTCAGAGGGCCAGTCCCCCATCACAGAAGAGCAAGTGCATTTCTTTCTGCACTTTGTGATGATGGATCAACTCATGCAAACTATTGATCAATGGCAAAATTGTGCACAGATTTGCTGAGAGTGGATCTCTACAATAAACTGACCAGTGCCAAGCCTTTGATAAGGTTATTGTGATTAGAATTATCTTGACCAAGTTAAAAAGGTGGGTCCTTCAAACTCTTGTCCTGGATAATCTCATGTCTCTTAACGTATTGTTGGCAAATCCATCTCTTGAAGAATTCAATTGTGTGACATCTGTTTTGCGCCCACCTGCGAATCCATGCATCTATTATGTTCAGCTTCTCCAAGGTCAGATTAAAAGGTCCACGAGGGAAACACAGACACGCCTTTTCCAGTAAAACTCGCCAGGGAGATCTCATCCAACAACAACAGTTCCAACAACAAATTCTGGGTCTGCCTTCTTCTTCTTAATAAGACATACCCAGAAACCTTCTGAACTGAGGCACCGAGTAAGCTCGCTTAACTAGATGCCAGATCCACCTCAGCTGAGACCTTTCAATGCACAGGAGCAGTGGCTCTACTCCCTGTTCCTGCTGGATGATGGAGCTTCTCAACTCTTCTTTAACTTTACAGAAAAGGCTCATTTTTGCCAGCTACACCCAGGATCTGATCTGTATTCTATGACCATGTTATTAAATCATAGACAGACGGGTGAATTGTGAGCTTCACTTTTTGCCTCAGCTTTTTCTTCACCACAATAGATGAGGGCAGTTCCTTCATTAATGCAGAAGACAATGCCATCTGTCTATCCATCTCATGCTCCATCCTACTATCCCTCATGAACAAGACACAGACCTGGAAGAATCAGCCATCTTTATTCTGTTCACTGTATAATTGCAAAGATTAATTTATTATTATCATGGAAAAACTGGGCACATGGTTATCTCATATAATACTATTTCACATCACATTAAGAGACTGGAAAAATAAAGGGTCTTGTTTTTTGCTCGTTACAGCATACCAAATTCCTAATTATAACTGGTGTTGCATGATGCACTGAGTGACAGAAGTGTCTCTGATTAAAGAAGTCCATTTTGTAATACAGGCACAAGTTCAGCTCTGTGACTACATCCACTGCAAGCTCAGATGTGGAATGAAGGCGTCTCAGTCATGCCTTGAAGGGGACTAATTAAAACAGCTTTAATTAGCACTTTACTCAGGCACATGCATTTCTAGGGCCTTTCTCCACTGACTGACCTGCACAAATCCTGAAAATCTCAAAGTTGCTTAGACCAATTTGCTACAGTATCACACATGACACTTAATCCCTAGGTGTTAGTGCTCTGCCCTACAGCTACCCAAGCAAATGAATCCCTAATACCAGAAGGTTCTTGCCGTACATTGGTCAGGATTTTATGCTGCATACGGGATGTTGACATTACCATACCGCACATCCCATAAATTTTTAAGTTAAGCCAACATCAGTGGCTTTACAAGTACAGGGTTCCGAGCCATCACTGATCTCCCAGAGTGGAGAGAGTCATAACTAATGATGAAGAGGGAGAGGTGAATCCCAGCAGACTGGGACTGCAGCAAAGTGCTGTGATGTGCTCCACCATACCCCGCACCTATTACTCATATTATTATTTTCACTTACGGCAATGATTTAATTTCATCAGCAGCCTAATCAGGTTAACTGATTACCCAGTGCTCCAGCATACAGACACAGGCCTGTGCACTAAAGCCACAGAGGGAGTATAGGGACACAGGCAGAGCGAGAGCAAAGGAAGGACACGGAGGTTGACAAAACTAATTTATGGTATAAATTACAAAGAAAGAATGTAATAAACATTATGGAAGTAGTTGAAGAAAACAATAGAAAAGTGTATTTTGCAAACAAAGGGGTACACTGTAGAGTTAAAAGTTTGAAAAAGAAAAAAAAAACTATTTACTACGATACTTTTCTGTAAGAATAACTAATCTATCAGGAGGTTTTTTCAAGAAAGTAGACATAATCCACCATATTGATTCCTATTGTTTGATAACAGTTCAGTTTGCAGATGCAAAGTAGAAATAGTTTGTCTTTTAAAAAAAAAAAAACATTGTAGGCAGCAGTTGATGTTTTCCTGTGATTATCTATCTTTGTTGGTTTCTGTTTTGCACGCAGTTGTGCCTTGGAGTAAAGCTTTTAAGAGCTAATAGGTTTTAAACACAAAGTGTGAAAGCTAATTTGTAATAGCAATACTAAAACACATCTACTTTCTCTCCCATTCTCTCTTCTGTTTTG